AAAAAGGTGGAAGTACTGAGAACCATCCGTTCAGCATCAAAAGTTGAGATGATTAAATTAAAGGCAGAGATCAAGTCCCTATGCCCCCTTTTGGTGCACTTTCTGTTGCTATTCCCCCACTCCAACTTTTCCCAGTGTTTTTCAATTGACAGCTAAGCACTTGGCCCCTGGCAACTGTGCACAAATCAGCATATATAACATTTCACCTTGTCTGCCCTTTGGCAGTAACACTCACAAGGAAATTGACCAGGCAGGTCTGTGCATAGCAGATATCTGTAAGTGTACACCTGCACACCTGCAAAAGTCCAACAACAGAAATAATAAAATAATAATGATGGCCCCAATTCTGCATTTTAAGGCCCCAAGTTTTGTTTTTAAAAAGACTGAGGAATGAATGTCTTTCCAAAGTGGTCTTTTGGCATCTGTGGATGAGAAGTAACTGGCAATAGAAAAAATGAAACATAGAAACAGAATGAGTCAGAAGGGGTCTCCCGGGCCATCTAGTCTGACCCCCAGCTCCAACCAGCTCCGCTCATGACATGCCCACCATGTGCAATGACAGGAAGGAGTTTTGCCACTCTTGCCTGGTAGTTCTGTAACCATTAGAACAATTCCTGATAAAATTGCTTTGCTGGGTTCAGATGACATGGCAAGCCATGTGGACAAGAACAATGCTAAGGCAGGTGTTCACAAAAAATAAGCCTCCCTGCAGAAATCATGCCAGGTTTGTCTGGTTAACTTGCTAAGATGTTTTGTTGTATGAACCATGAGGCGGGGGAGCGGCCAAACAAAGAAGGGGGCAAGGAAGGACACTTCCTTCCAGCTCAGCTACACATTTGGATTACTAGATTCCTGCATTTTGTACTCTTCAGCTAAGTTAGAGCTACAATTGATTCAAGGTAAGCCAATTAAACCTTGCTTTTAACCAGCCAGTTAAGTATTACTGAATCTAAATGCTATTTTAAGAACATTTTATGCAAAAGATGAAGAAGGATTCTATGAACTAAACCATGTATTATTTGAAAAACCAATTTGGACATTGGACATGCCTAAATTAAGGGACTCATGTGGATGACTTAAAAGTACCTCCTTTCACAGGAAGGCACTTCTAACAAAATCTCGCTTGAACGCCACATTTTAAGCCTGCAATTAATTAATGAATCAGCATGTAACAATAGAGTAACCAGCATGAGAAGTCAGGATGAGACAGGGAGGTGAAAGCATAATTGGGAAACACTTTTACTGCAAGAAAAGACCCTAATCCAGCTGCACAAGATGGCAGCAGCACCTGGTGACTCCTATGTCAGCGGAGCGCTTTATCCTTTGCAGCTTTTATTCTGACTTTTATGGAGCTCTCCATTGGGGATGGATCTCAGAACCATGGATAACCCCTATAAAGCTCAGAGTACAAAGTGTAATTGATGAGGATAAGGAATCACCAGCTTCCCCTGCAAGATGGACTGAGTAGGGGGAGGCATGGAAATCATAGGTGGGGGGCAGGGATATTGCAGGAGGTATCCTGCACAAGCTTTCATCATCACAACACCAATGTATCAGGAAGAGAAAATGAGACGTTCCGTGTGGAAGAACCTTTCTAGATTTTACATTTTGGTTGCTGTACCAAATTGCAGAGCATGCAGCTTACCTCAAGGGAGCTGCAGCCCACCTCTGAAGAGTGGTAAGGAGAACTCAAACAGAGGTAAGTAGTGGTCTGCCTTCTGGGCAACTGTAGCCTATGGGGTAAAGTGTAAAAAGGGAGCAATTATCCTGGGAATAAAACTGATTTGCCTGGAAGACCAGTAGATTCACAGAGCAGGTTAGCCACAGCCGTGGGACTTACACAGAGATGGCTGGAGAGGGGGCAGCAGCATAGAAATAAAAGCACAAAGGGTTCTGCCATAAGACATTTTTTCATGACTGATGCTAAAAGTGACACGAGTGGATCCTGTTCATGTCAGCTAGAGGCATTTTTGGGGAAAAAATACATTCACACTACAGGCCAATTTAAGCAAAAGACCATTACAATATTTTGTGTGCAAGTGTTATAAACTAGAATGAGAGATGCAGGCTATCACACACACACACACACACACACACACACACACAGTTTAAGGACTGCCACAGCATCTGCCCCCAAGGCTGACGATGGAGCCTCCAGAGTAAAATGGAGCAAGGCTTGCAGTGTAAGACTATAAGGGCACCAACAGACCAACACTGCCAGTACTGAAACTGCAGCAAATGATGCTCCCCATTGAGGTGCTTTAGATCCATGCTTATGACAGAAAAGCATTCCTCAGCACTCAGAGGGTTTCTGCTTTGCCCATAGAGTTTTACCTCTCAGCTGCTGTAGCAAGATGGAACTACACTAGCTCTCTAGGTAGCTTGTAAGCACTTATGAGAGGCAATCATGCCAAGAGGGGAACTGCGATTGGGGCTGCAAGTTAAAGCAAGTGTCCCCAGAGAGTCAGTAGGGTAATAGACACAGTCTTGGATATGGACTGTGAAGTCCCCTGGGTTCACAGCCCCCGCTCTGCCACAAAATCACAAAATACAGCGGATGATCTTGGGCTAGGCACCTCTCCGCCTGACTTACCTTACTGTTGTCTTGGGAGGATAACACAGAATAACGATCCTGAGCCTTTAAGAGTAGTCACAACCTCAAGGGACCCCTCCTCAGCTTGTGTGGAGAACAGAGAGAATGTTTAGTCTGCTCTGCACAGTCTTTCTCTTTGGGGAGTGTGGTTAGGTGGAGATTCCCTGAAGACACTCAAGTGTCCAACATGAACAACTCCTTCCCAGCCTCAGTGAGCTGCAGGCTATTGCCCAAGTCTGCTTTTAAGCCAATGCTGTGATCTGGAGCGCACTTCCTTGGAATGAAATACCAGGGTCATAAATTTAACTTACTTCCGATTAAGCATCCATAGGAGTGCTTGTCTAGTTGCAATTCAATGTGCATTTACTCAGGAGTAGTCCCAGTGAACTCAGTGGAATTTGCTTCCAGGTACACATACTTAGGATTGAGCTGCTTGCATCTTTCTCCTTCAGGGCTTTCTGCAGGTGGCAGATTCAGCGTGAAATGTTCAATACCACAACTCGGAGAAGTAAAGGCAGCCGGTGCAGAAGACTGCTGGCAGCAGGTGCTTGTGCTATGCCAGCCTTCCCCCATCTGCAGCTTTGGGCTGCAGCTCCCATTAGCCTCAGCCAGCACAGTCAATGGTTGGGGTGATGGGAGAGACAGACAAAAACATCTGGAGGGCACCCGCTTGGAGAAGGCAGTTCTACCGAATATGCTGCAGCCCTCTCTGAAAAGGCTTTTCAAGCTAGGCCAGTCCTTCTGGGACACTCGCGGGATGGGGCTTCTCTACTTGCTTGGCCCTGACAGTCCCACTTCCTGGGGACACCCAGGAGCGAGGCGCCCACTAGGCTGGCCTAGCTAGTCCAGTCCATGGATTATCTCGCGCCTAGCATCGTGGCCTCAGGCCGCTGAACTCACCTTTCCCGTTCGGTTCAAATTCAATAAACGGGGCATGCGTCGGGGACCCAAACATCCCCAAACTTCACTCAAACGGTACTAAGGAAAGCCACGCAGCACCCCACGCCATTTGCCAGGCTGCGCCCACTTTCAGCGCTCCCCGCGCCCCAGCCCCAGCTCCGCGATTTTGGTCCCATGCTTCGGCGAGGGCGACGCACGGCGGGGAGGACTAAACTTCGAGGGTCTACGCGCCTCCGTGCAGCCGAGCGCGAGCCGCGAGGAACGGGCGGAGGTTCCTCCGGGAGCCTTACCGGAGCCGGGAGGAGGCTGCCTCAGCCACTCAGCTGGAGCAGGGCGGCGTGGAGGAAGCCGGGCGCAGGCATGATCCCGAGGCGGGCACGGCGCTCCTCGCCTCCTGCCACCTGCCTGGGCGGGAGGGCTCTTCAGGTAGCCGCGCTGAGCGGGGGCGGGGCAGAGCCGGAGCGGCAGCGCGGCGCCGCCACGGGTGGAGCCAGAGAACTGGGGATGCGCCCGAGCGCGGCGAGCGAGATCTCTGCCCGCGCTGCGTCCTCCGCACAGCCCTCGAGCTGCAGCAAAGGCTCGCCTCGCCTCCGGGTGAAAGATCCCTGCAGCTTCGAGCGCTCGCTCGCTCTCGCGCTCGCTTTCTCCAGCGGGGAGCTGCGCCGCTCGACGTGGGCTTCTTGTCCCTTCCTCCTCCGGCTCCTCCTGCCCGCCCCCTCCTCAGTGCAAGCGCTTCAGACCCTTTGCATTTCCCCCAGTTATCCTCCCCGCCCGCTTTTCTCCAAGGGGCCAAGTGCTGACTGTTGCTCTTTCCTGGCCAACAATCCCATGGCTGTGACGGGGGAACGTCACAGAGTACGATTTATTCTAGGAAGGAGATATGCTGTGTTCCAGATTGGCCCTCTTTTTTCCTTGTTTTGTTTTCTTAGATGGCTGGAAGTGGAGGAGGACTGAACAGCCCAGTCCTATGTATGTTTACTCGCACAAGTAAGCCTTACTATATTTCCTTCGAGGCTCACGCCTAGGTAACCTTGCCGAGACTTGCACTTCTGCGCAAGGTCTACACAGTCTCTGAATTTTTCATCGCAGATGTTTGTTTATTCAAGGCAAGTGCAGATTAAAATAAGACAGCAAGCTCTCGTCGCTTTGCATCTCGTCGCTCTCCCCGACCCCATGAACATGCTTGGGGCAGCTCAGGTCCACACCTGGCCAGCCGTTCAGTGAGTCCCCGCAGATGAAACGATTTTATGGGGATGGAAAGACTGTTGGGATTTATGTTGTCAAGAGGGATGGATGCATTTTGCTTATTGTATGTGAGGTTTCATAGCTTGAAAGGTGATTATCTGCTTCCAAAAGATGCAGATATCTTTATATTTAATAAACTGACGCCATGATCCTAAACACACTTGTTCAATCCCATTGAACTCAGTGGGACTTATATTTAAGTAGACCTGCATATGATTGCCATGTAAGCTTCAGACTTAACTCGAAGTAAATGTACATAAGATGGGACTGCACAAAATTCTTTAATCTTTACGAATAGAAACCACACACATTTTTTTCAGGAGAAAGAATGCAATTGTTATTCAATCTGTCTACTAGGCTGATGCCCGAAATGCAGATTTTTAAAATTCCTCCACCTTCTACCCCAAGGAAGGCTCCATTGGGGTGAAAAGTGAGGTTGCTGAGAATATTGTGAAATTTCTTGAAAGATACTAGCCAGATCCGCTCTGTAACTTCTGTGTGTCAAGCAAGCGTTTATCGTTCAACAGTTGCGATGTGTTGTAGGCTGCTAGCTAAGGCAAGTGGGTGGGGATGGATAATTCACCCACACCACTGAATTTCTCTGTCAGTAAAAATAAAGAGATGCCTACACTTTCCCCTTTTATCCTGATTTCTTTTAGTCTGAGTGGAAACATTTTATTCTCCCCATGGTACTGAACAATCACAATTTTTTTCTTGTTGAGGAAAGATTCTCAGAAAGATGCCAAGAAAAAGATGCCTGGGGAACTTCCTCACAGAGGAAAGGCTGCTTTAGTGTACTTGAAACGCAAGAACATGAGAACTGTTCTCACTGGATCAGACCAAGATTCATCTGGTATTCTGTCTACAACAGCCAGGCATCCCTGGAAGCTATAAGAAGTTGTGATGTTGCTAACAGTGGGAGTAGCATATAAAATTTTCAGAAAGGGTTGAATTATTATTATTATTAAATAGCATTAATATCCAACCTTTTTCCCTCGTGCAAGGAACCCAAGGTAGGTTACAAGTGTCTTCTCTGCTCTTTTTTTAATCCCCACTTTTATCCTTTCCCATCCATTATTTTATCCATTATTTTTATTATTTTATCAATTTTAATTGTATCAGTTATTTTATTTTTTATCAAATCTTTATCCTGTGAGGTTGTTTAGGCTGAGAGTGCATGACTGGCCCAAAGTCACCCATTGAGCTTCATGGCCAAGTGGGGATGAGAACCTGGATCTCTCAGGTCCGCAACTCAACACTGGCTGTCATGGAGGATAGATCCATCAGCCATAAGCCATGATGGCTAAATTGAACTTTCATATTTTAGAGTCGTATACCTGTCATTATCAGACGCTAGGGGCAAAAGTAGAACACAATGGCAAAAGCCACCCTTGTTGGTTCAACTTCAGCATCTAGTAATTGGATATTCTGGCCCATGCAAGAAGTGAGGCAAATCACCCACCTCAGGTGACAGAGCTGGAATAATGGCGAGTCCAGTCAGAAGGTTCCAATGCACAAGTGCCACCAGGGGGTTGGGTGCCTGGGAGGGTGAGGGCTGCAGGGAACTCTCTTTAGAGAGAGTTTCCCTGCTCCTGCACCCACTTGCTGTGTTCCTTCTGGCATTTGCCAGGATGGCTCTCTGAAGCTGCCACCTTGTTGGCACTAGAGCAGGTGCTCCAGAAAGCCACCTTGCCAATCTCTGTGGATTCTTTCAGAGTGAGCTGGTGGGTGGGATGCTGAGCCCATTCTCTGGAGAACCTAGTTGGCAAAAAAAGTGACTGATGTAGTTTTGCAGAGGGCGATTCCTGGAGATTGCCTGCCTGCCACCCACCAGCGAGGGACTCCTCACTGGGGTGGGGGTTGGAGACACAGCATGGAAGGCAGTGGGGGGCGGTGTGTGGAAGCTGCATAGGCACATTTCTGTTCTCCCCCATCAGGCAATGGGAGAGCTTGCATTGGCCCTGGATCCCTGGCATTTCTGGTAATGAGAAAGATCTTAAGATCCCCTGAATCATGGCCAGAATAGATCAGGATGGATCCATCAGGTTGATCTGATTATTTAACTAATAGACCTGTTCTATCCTACATAAATTTAATATAGTCCTTTCTTAACGTTATCTCAAGTAGTTGCTATTTGTGAGAATGACATCCACACCTCAGTAAAAGGTTAGGTGTCATCTGAGGAAGCACTTCCTCTTGTCTGTCCATTAGTCTCCTCCTGATCAACTTCACTGGGTGATTCCAAGCCACACAATTGTGATAGACAGGCCCCAACTTCACACAGTAAATGCTTGTGGAGGCAAGAACAAATGCCCCTTCCAACATGTGATCTTTGTCTCCAGGCAGCCCCAAAGTCCACTTGCAGCTACTTCTACCCATTTTCTTTTCAGGAAAAAGCTGCTCCTACATAAATACTGCCCTGTTTGAATACTTTCACTCTGCAACTCGGTCTTGGCTGAAAAGCTGGTTAAGTATAATATTTAATATTTTGATTTTGTTTTCTTGTCTATAATATATAATATAATAATCAGTCTGCTATCAAATAATGTTTTAGCCTCAATTCTAGCCTACAACAACAACAACAACGGTAGCATTTTAAAGACTAATAATGTATTATTCCATGTGCTTTCATCCACCACAGCCCACTTTATCAGATGCATGGTGTGTTATTCTGAGTTCTGGGTGTATACAAGCACACACACACGCACACAAATGATTGGGGCTGGGGATTTGTAAAGAGTGAGGTCAGAGGAAATTAAAATGCAGAACATACTGTCAGTCACCTTTTTACAGTGGCTCTTTACAGTATTGGGTGATATAACACAGACATTTTTGAACTTTGTGTGAGATAAACACACACACACACCACTCTGTCCATATTCAAGCTACAGGAGATCGAGTTAAGCCTCTTGATGAACTGTATCTCGGCTGTTTCACAGAGGAGTCTGATGTCTGAAAAAGCCATTCAAAGTGACTTCTTTGCCAAACTGGCACAGCAGAGCCCTGAAATGGAAATGTGCAGCTTTACCTTTGGGAAAAGTAAATATTCCAAGGGGTAGTTTGGCACAAAATGACATGCAAAAGATCTTGCAGCACCTTAAAGACAGGTGAATGAAGACAACTGTCCAATTAAAGACGTCACAGGATTCTTGGCTGTAGCAGATGGACACAGTCTTTCTTCAAGCAAAATGCAAGAGCAGGAATCTGATTCATTTTGCTCATGACAATTCCTCTGAAACCAATGAAGTTAATCATGATGTACACCCACATAATTGGACCAGTGGGAAATGCTCCCAAGATATCTCCCATCCACTCACAAATCTGCTCCCCTCTGCTTACTACACTAATGCTTCAAGCTATTATTCATCAGTACCCAATTGCTCCCTTTACATCCAAATGCATTTACAGTCTTCACCCATTCTGTTCTTTCAGGCTTTTCAATCTGCGGTCCTCACGTTTCCCCCCAGCGACTTCATACTTCTCCTACACATGCCTCCACCTCTCCTTTTCTCCAGCACACCCAAATAATTATTGGACTCCACACCTCCCACATTTCAGGACTGTTTTGAGCATTACAGTTTTTAGATGTATGCCTAAGAGACCAACTAAACATCACATGCAAATGTGACACCAAGTTTTTTGTTAAGAGAGAAAGGGGAAAAGTGTTAGGAGTGATTTCTAGCAGAAATGAGGGTAGGAGAGAAAGAGGCATTTATATCTTTTTCTGTCTGCCATTTTTCCATTCTAAGTGTTTCTACCCAACTTGTGCGCTTCAAAACTATGCTTGTCAGTTTTTTGAATGGGGCTGAAGCCACCTCAGGGGCAATTTGAGAAGAGATATGGCAGTTGGGAACTAATCACCTTTCTCCATCATTTAAACCATGCCCTTCCAGTTAGCAGTATCTGAGAGATAGACCTAAGGAATAAATGTGTGCCTGAACACATAACATATTAATAATCCTGCATAGAACAAACATGTATTCTACTTGCACACTTCTGGGAGGCAGGATTGTCTGAGGGTCCCTGTCAAATATGCTGACATGAAATATGTGAAATTGCCTTTAAAGAAGGCACATCTACTGCCTCTTCCACCCTCAACGGTTATCTTGGAAACACATTTGCACATTGTTTGCAGGGCACAGTAATAATGTGGCTGCATATGGCTTAGCCTAGCACACTCAGCAACCTTAGCTGACATATCATGTCTCATGCAAATGCTACCCCAGAAATTTTACTGTCGTTTCCATCAGCACTTTGGCCTGAATTGAAGTCTATTATTGGAGCTTGTCAGTGCAACTCAGAGAATGAAGGGGATCCGATGGCCCCGGAGCCCACAAAAAGCAATGAATCACCTTGGTTCAGAAGGGGAAAGTTGACTATGATGACCTGGAAAAATGACCCAGCTCCTAATGACACTGGGAGCTCCTCCAGGTTCTCCTCTAACATTGCACAGACATGGTGGGTTGGGAGACAACTGGAGCGTAGGTGGAGGAAATCACGGGATGAATCTGACCGAACACACTTGAGAGCCCACTATTGGGCCTATGCTGTGGCGGTGAAGGCGGCGAAAAAGAAGTTTTTTTCCGCTTCCATTGCCTCCTCACAATGCCGTCCGGTGGAGCTTTTTCGAGTGGTACAAGGCCTGGTTCGCCTGGGTCCTAAGGAAGATCCGATGCCACCCTCAAAGGCCTGCTGTGATGACTTTGCCAGGCATTTCAGGGAGAAAATCGCTCCGATTCGTCACGAGCTGGACTCCACTAATGAATCAGAGGTCTCTGAGGAGACGCCAATGCTACCGTCTGGTCCAAAATTGTTGGAGGAATTTCAATTATTGCGGCCCAATGATGTGGACAAGGTACTTGGACAAGTACGTCCCACCACTTGCCTATTGCCACTTGCCACTTGCCCGTCTTGGTTAATAAATAACTCCAAGCACGGGATTGGGACCTGGATCTTGGAAGTGGTTAACGCTTCTCTGAGGGAGGGTCGAGTGCCTGCCCCTTTAAAGGAGGCGGTAATACTACCGGTCCTGAAGAAAGCGTCACGGGATCCAGAGATGGCCACTAACTATAGACCTGTGGCCAACATCCCGTTTCTGGGCAAGGTGTTGGAGCGAGTGGTGGCGGGACAACTCCAAGCACTCTTGGATGAAACTGATTATCTGGATCCTTTTCAGTCTGGCTTCAGACCTGGGTACAGTACTGAATCTGCCTTGGTCGCCCTGTACGATGACCTGTGCAGGGAGAAGGACAGGGGGAGTGCATCCCTGTTGGTTCTTCTGGACCTCTCAGCGGCTTTCGATACCATCGACCATGGTATCCTTCTGGATAGGCTAGCGGGATTGGGGGTTGGAGGCACTGCTTTGCAATGGTTCCGCTCCTATCTCAATGGTCGATTCCAGAAGGTAGTGCTGGGGGACCATGTCTCTGCGTCATGGCAGCTATGCCATGGAGTACCACAGGGCTCCATTCTATCCCCTCTGCTATTTAACATCTATATGAAACCTCTGGGAGAGGTCATCAGGAGGTGTGGGCTGCGGAATCATCAGTACGCTGATGATACCCAGCTCTACCTCTCGTTTTCCACTAATCCAGGTGAGGCAGTGGCTGTGCTGAACCAGTGCTTGGCCGAGGTAATGGAATGGATGAGGGCCAATAAACTGAAACTCAACCCAGACAAGACGGAGGTCCTGTTGGTTGGCGGATCGGGCTTCAAAGAGGGTGGATTTGACCTGGTCCTGAATGGTGCAACACTCCCTCTTAGGGATAAGGTCCGCAGCTTAGGAGTACTCCTCGACCCGGAGCTTTGTTTGGAAGCTCAGGTGACAGCGGTGGCGAGGAGCGCCTTCCTTCAGCTTCGGCTGATTAATCAGCTGCACCCCTACCAGGAGTTCGACTGCCTGGCGACGGTGACACACGTGCTGGTGACTTCCCGCCTAGACTTCTGTAACGCGCTTTACGTGGGGCTTCCCCTGAAGACGGTCCGAACACTTCAATTGGTGCAAAATAGAGCTGCCAGGTTGCTGACGGGGACGGGGCGTTATGCTCACATGACTCCAGTCCTCCGTCAGCTTCACTGACTGCCCATTGAAGCCCGGGCCCAATTCAAGGTGTTGATTATGACCTATAAAGCCCTAAATGGCTTGGGTCCTGGCTACCTGAACGAGCGCTTACATCCGTATATGCCCGACCGCCCTTTGAGATCTGCGGGAGAGTCCCTTCTCCGGGAACCCTCCATGAAAGAAATTAGGAGAGTAAGTACTCGGAGGAGGGCTTTCTCTGTGGTGGCACCCAACCTATGGAATTCACTCCCCAAAGAGGTCCGCCTGGCACCGTCGTTACTGGTTTTTCGGCGCCAGGTAAAGACCTTTTTATTTAAACATCATTTTAATTGTTAAAATATATGATCTGGCCAGGGCAACTTCTTCTTCCTTCTCTTTTCTCCTCCTATATTATTTATTTACTTATTTTATACTGATAATTTTAATTTTATATTATTATGTTTGTAACTCAATGTATTTTTTGTATTTTTGTATTTAATGGTAATTTATTATGTTCTATTGTATTTCAATGTATTTTATTGTGTTGTAAGCTGCCCCGAGGCTTCGGCAAGGGGCGGCATAGAAATGTTATAATAATAATAATAATAATGGCTCCTCCAGAGATGAAGATGTGTCCACTTACTGGCTTGGGGACTAAGATGTCTCATAAGTAGTGAAAAAGTCTAAATTTTCAACTGTTCTTTTTCAAAAGTGACAGGTAGCTCCACCCTTTCTAAGAACTGAAGTCCAAGCCCTGGAAATCCTGCCCTGGATGCAGGGATGATCTGACAGCAGCCATGTATTCTATGAATTTAGGCTGCCATGGACCTATAGGAAGAGCCCTTTCATAGCAAGTCAAACATGACCTTAAAGGACTCATTTCTAACTCCTCCTGGATTGGCCCAACAAGTCATGTGACTCCTATATAACCTTGTTTCACCGCAATACACTTAAAGGAAAAGGTTATAGAGCTCTAACATGTACAGGGGCACAAATGACTCTGCGAGTCCCATTTCCAACCACTCCATGGATTGGTCCAGCAGCGATATGTGGCTTTGTATGGTGAGCATGGATAAATGTAATTCCCTTTAACTCAAGTTAAATTTTACCCCCCAGATTATTGCCTTTCCACCCTGGTTTTTACAGATAATCTGATCGCAGGATGGGCAGATATGGTTGAATAGAACTTCATTATTATGGGTTTTCTCCCTTAACCCTATTAGAATTGGAGCTCACAAAGGTGAAAGAAATGATCAGTAAACAGTTTAGGGGTGTTGCTGTGAAAGACGACAGAGGTTGGGCTTCAGGATATCTGCTATTTTGCACCCTCCCCCCAATATTGTTATGCTTTTGAGATCCCTAAATATTGCCAAGTCTTTACATCGACCTATTTTAACTCTTCATCACCAGCTCTATTAGAGGGGAGATGCTTGAGATACACTCAATATGGTATTCAGGTAAGGTTGAAATAATTACTCATGTGTTAATATATTCATCTTTCTTATCTTATTCGGATTTTAGAAATATTCCAGGCAGATCTGACATATTTTATAGCTTTTCTGTCTGATATGTAGAATGAAGTAACTTTTAAAGTGACAAGATTTTGTGGAAGAAATAACTCTGCATTTAGGTTTATCCAAGTGAGTAGATTTACTTAAGTATGCACATCAGCAATTACAGGAGAAAGGGTTGAAGCTGCCAGATTTTCCTCTAACAGCAACAAGACTTTCTGCTCTCACAAGAAATATCCTTTGCTTATATCGTATTTCTTGATTATGCAGAAAATAGAAACCTATACAATTACTGTGGAATGCAAACTGCAACAATCACAGATGCAGCGATTAACAAATGCTTATCTTAATTTACAATAGACACAGAAGTCATCTTACATCAGAACAAAAGGTAAAGATATAAGAGATATAGACTGCATCCTGGGTTAACACAGATAAAGGTGATTTACTACATCTTGAGTCTTCTCAAGAGTTTGTACTAATTGCCTTCACAACATGTACATGTGGTCTACTAGGTCTTGTTGACCAGAGAAATATTTAAGGCCTGAATATATATTACTTCCATTTTTGTTTTGTTTTGGCCTGTACTATTAGGGAAAAGATGGTAAACGTACTTCAGTATCCAAAATCAGATTAATATTTTATTATTTCTTGTTTTTGTGTACATGGATGTTTGGGATG